TTATGGATAGCAATGTTAGAAATGGGATTATAAAGGAAATTAGTTGAATTAACGCAAATGTGCGTGACAGACTCATTTGCACAAGTAAAGATATGAAACAGAACATCGATGCCATTTGGTATAAATTCAGGACTTAGGCAGGGAGACCCCTCGTCACCGTTACTGTTCAATTTTGCTTTAGAATATGCAATGAGTAAAATATGGTCTGAGCTGACAAGAGGATTTGCTGATCAAAGATAAAAACTGTTGCTGGCCTTTGCTGATGATATAGATGCAGTCACGCATTCTACAAGAGACATGAGAGAGGTGTTTTCACAGCTCGAGGAGGAAACAGGTAGTCTGGTCTCCGAATAAATGAAGAAAAGACGAAATACATGGTAGTAACCAAAAACCAAGACCAAGAGTTAGGCAGAACATCAGTATTAATGATCACAACTTCGAAATAGTAAAAAAGTTTAAATACCTGGGAGCGATAATCACAGCGGACAACCACATAGAAAAAGAGGTCTCGGCAAGGATAGCTGCGGGAAATAGAGCATTATACTCACTTTCAACATTATTAAGATCGAAGCTGCTAAAAAGAAAATTTAAATTAACACTGTACAAGTCGATTATTCGCCAAATTATTACATATGGCAGTGAAACATGGACTCTCAACCAGCGAGAAATCAATAAGCTTCTAGTATTTGAGAGAAAGGTTCTCAGAATAATATTTGGCCCTCAAAGAGATGAATTCACAGGGGATTTGAGAAGACGCCGCAATGCTGAATTGGTGACTCTGTATGGAACTGAAAACATAGTTGGGACATATCAAGGCAAACCGAATAAGATGGGCAGGTCACGTGGTACGATCAGAGGATGGCAGAGTGTTAAAAACAGTGTTTTTTGAAAAACCAGATGGTAGAAGATCAGTATTCCGACCGAGAAAAAGATTAAAGGATGATGTTGAAGCCGATTTATCTAGAATTGGGGTACAACAATGGGAAATAGAAGCGCAAGATCGTAGAGGATGGAGGGCGATAGTGGATGCGGCTAAGACTCACCCCGAGTTGTAACGCCATTGAAGAAGAAGAAGACAAAGGGCATAGCCGGATAAGAATGTCAAAATTACCCAAGCGGAAACTTGACCTCAAATTTGAGGTATTGTTCGGCATCACTAAAGATGAAGACTAACCAAAGTTTAGCATAAAATATAACCTCAAAATTCCATAAAACGACAAAAATCCCATAACTCACTTAATTTTTTACCAAAATAGATGTTTTTAATTGCAGTTTTTTTTTGTTTTCTTCTTCTTCATCTTTATAAGCAATTCTGCTTGTCCATTGGCGGATTAATACATCTATGGAAGGTTGTCACTCCATCTTTTGCCCAATCGTCCGATACTTATTTTGCTGATTGGTGACTTATTGGTGACTTTGCTATTCTGACGAGACGGTTCTCCTCCATTCTGCTTTGTGGTTATTCTATTTTTTTCTACTTTGTGTCCATCCATTTATACACTGTACGTTATATTTGCATCTAATGTCTTCATTTCACTCAGTGAATCCCAGTACTCTCATATCTGCCGTTTCCAGTAGCCTTTGTGTTGTGTCTGTATCGGGTCTTGTTTCTGAGGCATATGTCATTATTGGTCTCACATTGGCTTTATAAATTCTTGACTTTATCTCATTGTTAATGTGTCCGTTTCGCCATATAGTGTTATTAAGGCATTCTGCCAGTCTATTTGCTTTTTGTACTTGATCTCTTACTTCTTTGTCCACGTCTCCATAGCTAGGCAGTGTAATTCTCAGGTATTGTATTTCCGTTACTTGTTCAATACTGATCCCATCAATTTCTATTTTACATTTGGTTGGTTATTTGCTAACTACTCTCATTTTAGTTTTTTGATATGTGATTGGCATATTAAATTCTTTTGCTCTTATGTTAAATCTATGGAAGAGTTTTTGCAAACTATCTTTATCTTGGGCTATCAATATTGCATCGTCTGCATAACAGAGTCTTTTTATTTCTTTGTTTCCCATTCTGTATCCTCTTCCTTTGTTAATGCTTTTGATGATTTCATCCATGATTAAATTGAAGAGCATGATGAGGCTCAATGAGTCCCCTTGTCTTATTCCGCTGCCTACTTCTACAGGTTCTGTAAGTTGTCCATCTACTCTGCCTTCTATTTTGTTGTTTTGGTAGATGTTTTCGATAGTTTTTATAATATTTGGGGAACTTCTCTATCATACAGAAGATGGATTACATCTTCGAGTTTTACTCAGTCAAACGTTTTCTTTAGGTCAATCAGACACAGAAATTATTATACTGATCTAGTGTCTAATAATTAAATTATTAGGCACTGGTGTATTATACTATAGCGATTTCTCAGTAATTTGCTTTATAACGAACATTGCATCTCCCACTACGAAAACTGTGTTGTTAATCTGCTAAACTTATCCTCTGATTTATTAGTACTTGTAAAATTTTAGGGTAGTCTTTAACAAGTTATTAATTGTTCTGTCATTTCTGCTCCACAATATTTCAATAATTCGATTGGTATCTCATCTTTACCTGCTGCTTTTCTGTTCTTCAGCTTTTTAAGTATTTTCTGAACTTCCTGTACATTTATATTAAGTTCTTCATTTGTGGTAATATCTGATGTTTCCGGTTCTAGCGTCGTTTGTTCTTCCTCTGCATAGAGCTTTATCTCTGTCCTGAGCATTACCTTTTTCTTCTTCATCTTTCGCTTTTATTCTACTGAATAATCAGCCAGTATATTTGCTTTGTTAACTTTTACTCTACTGTCGTGAGCTTAGACAATGAAAGAGAGGGAACGCGTAATCTTATGGAATTGACTGAAGCCAAACCGGCGCCAGAAATGTTGCCAGGTCATATTTTATTTCTTCGTTTCTTACTGAAATCAGTAGATCTACTGAAAAGTCAGTAGACCTGGTAACCTTGCGAGAGGTAGTAATGCGCAACGTACATCAAAACTGGCTTTACTTTTCGAAGGTTTATTAAATTAGTGTTTATATCGTCTATCTTTTCTTGTCTAAAGTCGTGAGTTTGAGAATATATCTCATGCCCTATTATCAGAGACGCATATGCGTCTATATCCTTTGCTATTATGTTCAGTGCTTTGGTTTTAGCTGTAAATGAGTGTACATTTTATTTATTCTTTCTGTTTTCTTATAAGTGGTTTAAATATTAATATTGGATAGGTTATTATGATCATAAATCATGATTGTGGACCACGCGAATATCCTCCAAACAACAGGCGCCCTAAATCAATTCGAGAAAGTAGACGAGTTCACGTATCTAGGATCTTCCTTAAGCAATGCAGCCTCCTGCCATACGGAAATTCGCAGAAGAATAGGAATGGCCAAGAACGCGATGAGTCGACTGTCAAAAAATATGGAAGGACCGCTCTTTGTCCAAAAAACTCAAAATGAGACTGGTACGGACACTCGTTTTTTCAATCTTTAGCTACGGTGCCGAAACATGGACAATAAAATCAGAGGATAGAAAAGGATTGACGCATTCGAAATGTGGTGCTGGAGACGAATGCTACGCGTCTCGTGGACGGAGCACAGATCCAATCAGTCGATTCTCGAAGAGCTAAACATTCAGACCAGACTCTCCTCTCAGTGTCTTTCAAATGTTTTAAAGTTTTTTTGGCCACATTGCGAGAAGAGACAATGACAACTTAGAAAGACTAATCGTGTGCGGAAACGTAGAAGGACGTAGAGGCCGAGGACGCTCACCTATCCGATGGTCAGATCAAGTACAGAAAGCCACTGGAGAGACGTTTTCCGAGTCCATGAGAGCAGCCCAAAATCGCAAGAGATGGAGAGAATTGACAGCCCGCATTGTAGGGAATCACGATCCTCAGCAATGAGGAAACGACAAGAGAGAGAGAGGTTATTATGAAGGTTATAATTTTATATGGTTGATCTGTAGGAATCTGAGAATTTTGATAGTTTTAGGGTTGGTATGTTAATTGGAGTTTTAATATTAATTTTGATCAGTTCCTGAGAGACCTTTGATCATAATCTTTTATTTTTGTTTATTGGGCATTCCCAAAATACGTGTTCTAATGTTTCCATTTATCCACATTCAGAGTATGGGTTATTGCGAATGTCGATTTTATATAAATGTACTCCTGTCAGGTAATGGCTACTCCTCATTCTAATAATGGTAGTAATATGCCGCCAATCGCAGCCTATCGTTAGATAATTATCAAGAAAATTTTAATAATGTATCATAAAATCAATGAGTCAGAAATCAAATCATGAGCAGGCTCAGTAGCGCTTTACTTGATGTTAGAAACAACACAGGAGTTGAAGAAAAACTAATTAAATTAGTCCAAGTCACGGAGACTATAAAGAAAAATGAACTAACATCAAGTACTGACAAGAAAAAATCCTGGATGGCTGATGAGATTTAAACTAAGTTAAAAAAAATTTGAACAATTTTTCGCCTATACGACCTATATCTTTAACCTTATTGTGGGGTATCTCGTGAAAGTGATTTTGCAAAAAAATTGCATGGGAATATTTTTCCGAACGAACCAGACCTTTTCGCCTTGTCTAAACGTGGAATACACATAATGAGATGATAGTCATATCCAACAATATACGCTTTTAGCTGTCTTAGAAATAAAAAAATAAACAATAACATTATTATTTGAAAGTGCACGAAAAAAATGTAGACTAAAGCGTAAAATATACAAACAATTAAAATTATTTGAACCACAATGTTATTTACTGCACTATTGAAATTTCCAAAGTATATCACATGTCAATCATCACAACATGTCGCATAGAACAATGTAGTTTTTTTAAGTATCTAAAAAAATGTGATTACATCAGTCGCGGTGAAAAATATCAGTGTTTTTATCAGAATTCGATTGATTATTTCATTGTATACACCTTATATACACTTTTACATTCTAATATTGTATAATTTTATAAATCCTTAATTGTACCAGTTAAAATTATTTTCAAATAATACTTACACACTCCTGAGATTCTGAAATATCATTTTCTCCTCTCTTTTCAGTTTTTGGGCGGCAAATCCCCTAAAAGGTTAAAATCGACGTTAATAACTATAATGATTATTTTTATAAATACATAAAACAATAATCAAAATTATTTTTAAAGAAGATTTTAAAAATAAGAGATGTTAGGAATACATAATTACAAAATATTTATTTATTTAAATCAAACATTTTAACTTTACTGATCAATACTTTTACTTAAAATGTTTATGAGCCAGTTTTTTAAAATTTGTTACTGGTTTTAATATTGACACTGGAAGACGGTAGTTGGGCCAGAAATAATCAGCAGAATGCAGAGAGATTTGCCACTCATCTAGAGAACACATTTAAGTTGCAAGCTGACCAAAACGATGACCAGGATTGGCCCAAACCAAAGCAAATAGATGAGAATATCAAGCCAACTTCCCCAAAAGAAGTAGCTGAGTTAATTAAAGAACAAATCGACCCAAATAAAGCACCAGGTTATGACCTCATTACCGGAAGACTGCTAAAAAATCTACCAAGAAAAGCTAAAACTAAAATTAACAAATTTAATAAATGCTGCCTTTAGACTACAATATGTTCCAGATTTATGGAAGATAGCTGAGGTGATCATGATACCAAAGCCTGGGAAACCCCCCAATGAGGTGACATCATATAGACCAATACCACTCCTACCTGTGATGTCCAAGGTGTTTGAAAAACTCCTCCTGCGAAGAATCCTACCAATAATTGAAGAAAAGAAAATAATTCCAGATCATCAATTTGGATTCAGAAATAAGCATTCGACAATTGACCAGGTGCATAGAATAACTGCTATAATTGAAAGATCATTAGAGAAAAGAAAAGTCTGTTCTGCAACCTTCCTAGATGTGGCACAGGCGTTTGATAAAGTCTGGCATAACGGTTTGATACATAAACTTAAATCATTCATGCCTAAACAATATTCAAATATATTACAATCATATCTAGCGAACAGACATTTTAGAGTTAAACAAGAAGATGCATACACTGATCTCAAGGATATTGAAGCAGGTGTTCCACAAGGGAGTGTATTGGGTCCAGTCCTATACCTAATATACACGTGTGATATACCTGAACTAGAAGACGACACCATAGCTACATTTGCAGATGACACTGCCTCATTAGCAGTAAGTGACGCCGTCGAAGAAGCTACAGAAAAACTACAAAATTCAATAAATAAAATTCATGAATGGACCAAAAAATGGAAAATTAAGCTGAATGAGAATAAATCAGTCCATATAAATTTTACCAATAAGAGAATTAATAATATTCAAATTACAATAAATGATGTCCAAGTGCCTATTACAACATCAGCAAAGTACTTGGGGATCACTCTTGATGCGAAACTTCGCTGGAAAGCTCACGTGAAGAAGAAAAGAGAAGAACTAGGCATCCGCTACAAGAAAATGTATTGGTTGATGGGAAGGTATTCCTCTCTATCCATAAATAATAAACTCCTAATCTATAAACAAATATTGAGGCCAGTATGGACCTATGGTTGCCAACTCTGGGGCTGTGCCAAGCCTAGTAACATCAAAGTAATCCAGGTATTCCAGAATAAAGTGCTAAGGAACATCGTAGATGCGCCTTGGTACGTTAGGAACAACGATCTTCACCGAGACCTCAAGATGGAAGATGTCAATCAGATAATCAAGAAATTTGCAGGGAGCCATGAACAACGACTCCATCATCATGTAAACGTCGAGGCTATCCAGCTCCTCGACAATACGAACCTAGAGAGAAGGCTCAAAAGAACAAAGCCTTTTGAACTGGTATAGTGAGTGAGTGAAAAGCAGAGCAAAGTGTTGTGCGAGTATACATGCTAAATTTATTGCTAGTTATTAGAAATAATAGAAAAGGTACTAGTAGTAGTGAGACAAAAAAATGTTGACACTTGCACTTTTCCCACAAACTTTTTTAAAACCAAGTTAATGTCTTCTTTTGAACTTTTCTAGCCATCACTTACTGGCACTGAAATTGTCACTTCCAATTATTTAGGGTATATTTCGACTTTTTCTTCTAATAGTGGTCGACTAAAACTGATATTTAGGCTCCTACACTGCTCAAATCATTTAAGTGTTTGAAAATTCTGCAATCGGTCGTCTGATGCAGGAAAAATTTTGACAGTTTTGATTTTTTTTTCATGTTTAATTCATTTTTATTATTGTTGACAGAGTACTCATTGGTAGGCAAAACTGTTCAGCAATATCTTTCTTTTTTTGACACCTCTTCACAGTTTCGACCTCTTCTAACTTTTTAGCGAGGCTCAAAGTTTTCAGTTTACGTTTCACAGAACTCATGTTTTAACAATTATACTTGTAAACTGTTGTACAAATTGATGTGTATTGCGGTAGAACCAAACTATTTCTGATAATGTTTCTATTAACAACAAATGATTTGCTTCGACAAAGTCCAAAATAATAAAATTAAACAACTGACACCAAGCAAACAAGCACGTGTTTAAGTTAGTCATAAATTGCTTAAGATCCTACTGCTCCTATTTATTGTATACTCCTAAATTGTTCCAGAAACAATGTTGTACTTACACAGTCCATAGAGTTTAAAATCGGTGACAAATTTTTCTTCGAACTATAGAGGTAAAATTTTCAAATAATCAAGTTGTAAAATGGTGTCGTCAAATTCTTAAAGTCAGTAACTTATTTTTCTTCGAACTATAGATGTATGTAATAACATTCAAATAACCCAGTTGTCAAGGTGGAAAAATAAACATTGCTATGTTCGAGATACAGGATCCAAATTTTTCGAGTTATAGACCGAAAATGTGTACCAAAATGGCTTGCAGGGACCCACTGATTATTTCGACTAATAGAGGATTGAGATTTCGAGTAATGGAGGGCTTATTTTCGAGTTTTGGAGCTTTTCAACATATCGAGGTTAAACTAGAGGTTCTACTGTACATTGAAATATAGTGCTCCACAAAATTAGAGAAACACTATTTTGACACAGATATTTCTTTTTTAGGTAACATATTAGATCCTTCTAACGTTGGCAATTACATTGGCGAGTTGTTCACGGTCTTCAGCTAATCGACATGGTTGTTCGGCACTGCCTATTCCTGTCCAATGGCAAAAGTTCTTTAGCCGTGACATATGTTTCCTTCCAATTCCTCTGCGGCCTTGAATTTCACCTTTGATTCCGAAAAATATTTCCTAGGTATGATATATTTCTTATATTTCCAGTTTTAAATATTTCAAGAACAGTATTTTCTCTATGTAACACTGTAACAAATAATTTTCTCAATGTTTTTGATCTATCTACCCGTAGGGAGTATTGTCGTGCAAAATTTTGTCTTAGAGACATTCATTTTCAGATGCTTTGCGTGTAAACACGACTCCCTGTCGTATTTACGCAATCTAATAACTCTTGAAGGCACTTCAAACTATCGCACAAGACACTAGTATCGTCGGCATATCGAAAAGTATTAATTACCATTCATTTTCACTCCAAACTCTTATCTTGAAAGTCCTCTTTAAAAGTTATATCTGAGTAGATATTGAATAAGAGCGGAGATATAATGCATCCCTGCCTGACGCCTCGATGAATGTAACATTTGTCGATTAGTCTTGCATCGACACAAACGACTGCTTTCTGCTTCCAATATATGTTTTAAATGATGCGCAGATCTCTACTATCAGTGCTTTTTGTTGTTAATATGTTCAAGTTTAAAGTGTTCCTTGCTGTATCATATTAAAATCTTTTTCGATGATCGCTACATAAATATCTTTAGGTTGGTCGCGGCACTTTTGGAGAAGTATACTTATTTCAAACAGTACCTGGCTACGAGGGTTAGATAAAAAACTGACCGTCCCGATCAGTCTTCCTCTTCAATGGAAAATCTTCCCCTTTGGTAAGCTTGCGATCCAATTTTTTCACTTTCTTTGTCAGTGTCAAAGTTTCTGCAAATAGGTAAACATTGGTAACAAAAGTTTTTCTTTTTATGCAATGAAACCGGTAATAAGAAAATAAAGTAGTAGTTTATCCAGTAAATAAAAACTGAATAAACGTTCCGATTAAAACGGCATTTGCATCGTTTTCCTTCTGTAAGAACCTTCTACAAGGTATTAATACTATAAATAAAGATAAATGAAACCGGTAAAATCCTTCTCAAGTTATGGCGTGACCGATGAAAATAGGGGTTCGTTTATATAAATAAATAAAGAGGTGTGATGTTGCTGCGAATTTGTTCCCAATTTCAACGCCCTTGCTCCAAATGAAGATTATATACTAGCAGGAAGACATTTTGTTGCAAATGCATAAAACAAATTTCGTTTTCTTTTTTAAAGAATGAATGTTTTGAAGACGAAAAACAAAAATTTTTCACATTGATTTTAGAAATGTAGAAACCTACACCTGTTTGTTGTATTTCATACTGCGTTGTGAATGAAAATTAAAATAAACTAGTAAACTATACAAGTGCTTTGGCAGAACTTCGTGATACACCTCCGTCAAGTAAATCAAATTTAACGCGTTAATTTTATTCACCCGATGGAGGCCTATAACGAAGTTTCACCAATTTTTTTCCTGGACATCCCTAAACCTATTTTAAAATATGTCTGTACTTCACCCAAAATTAGTTGCTGATCCCTACCTTAGAACTATTTCGCGAAAACTAAGAGACCAGAATAAAAATGACAACAGATTATAATAATAGAAAATAAATTACCGACTAACATAACAAAGATAGTCCATAACCTAAATAACAACAATGTAACCAAAGTTAGAGCAGGAGACCAATCCACTGAAAATACTCCAACACCGGGAGGAATTAGACAAGGCGACAGTTTAAGCCCCTTCTGGTTTAACCTACTCATGGGCAAAATTATAAACAAAGTAACATCACTCAATCTCGGATACAGAATGGGCAACAAAAGAATTGTTATGGTGTGTTACGCAGATGATGCAGCAATTATTGCCGAATCAGATGATGATCTTCAGAGACAACTCTTTTAGTTCTTTCAAATAAGCCGTCAACCAAATATGACCATTTCTACCAACAAAACTAAATGTATGACAATAACAAAAGATCCGCTCAGATGTAAGTTAGTGGTTGAGAACAACCCCATAGAACAGGTGATGCAATTCAGATATCTGGGCATAGATATATCAAGCACACACGACCCAGTAAAGGACCTAAGGAGTCATATCAACAAAGCATCCGCATTGTTAGGATGTCTGCGGGAGATAGTCTGGTCAAATTCGTATATGTGCACAGATAGTAAAATTAGAATCTACAAGACTTGCATACGACCGATCATGACATATGGCATAGAAGTGCGCGAAGATACCTTCTTCATGTGCCTTGTCTGTTCCGAACGTTGGCAATCAACCTAGCTATTCTGACTTTGTTTACGGCAGATCTGAATAGTTCAGCAGATAACAATCCGAACCATCGCCGCAAGTTTTGGAGCCACGAGTGTCTTCTCCTCCCTGGACCCCTTCTGCTGTCTATTTTCTCTTGGACGATCAGCTGTAGTACTCTATATTTATTATGTCTCATAACGTGACCAAGTATTCCAACTTTCTTTTCTTTATACTTATTCCTATCTCTCTCTCTTTACCTATCCGGCATAGTACCTCTTCGTTGGTCACGTGCTCAGTCCAGGATATACGTAATATACGTCAGTAAGCCCACATTTCGAAGGCCTCTAGTTTTTTCATCAATGTTGCGGTCATTGTCCACGCCTCCATTCCATATAACAAAACCGGGAATACATAACATTTCAGAAGTCGAATTTTGAGAGGTAGGGTGAGGCTTTTAGAGGTGAAAATTTGCTTCATGCTAGTGAACGATGCTCTTGTCTTTTCTACTCTTAAACGTATTTGCTTCGCTTGATCTCAATTTGAGTTAACTGTTGTTCCCAAGTAGATGTACGAATTCACCCACGTGTTCAATTCTTTCATTGTCAATATCAGTTGCTGTGGTGGTTGTTGGGTTTTGCTAACTAACATCCATTTGGTTTTTGTGATATTTAGTCTGAGTTCGTATTGTGCACTTGTTTTTTGTATCTTACTCATTAGGCAACTCTTCCTCCATGCTACTTGCTAGAATCACAGGTGTCATCAGCATACCTTATGTTATTAATTATTTCTCCATTTATCTTTATGCCTTCTGTGCTTTCCTCCAGCGCTGTCTTAAATACTTCTTCTGAGTATATATTAAAGAGAATAGGAGACAAGATACAGCCCTGTCGTACCCCTTTCTTGATCTCAATTTTATTGGTCAATGTAGATCCTACTTTCACTTTAGCTGTTTGACTCCAATAGAGACTCGCTATTGTTAAGAGCGTTAAGTACAGAGACTCGAATGTCTCTGTAGTCGACTCCGATCTTATGGAGAACTTCAATTATTTTTTCGTGCTTTACGTTATCGAATGCTTTTGCGTAGTCTATAAGCATATGTACACGTCTTTGTTCATATCTCTGCAGCGCTGGATGAGTACCCGTAGACTAAAAAGTGCTTCTCTTGTCCCAAGAGAATTCCGAAACCCAAACTGCGAATCTCCAATGTTATCCTCGCATTTTTTGCTTATTCTATTGTAAATAACCTTGGTGTATGCCTTCGAAATGTGGTTAATTAGACTTATCATCCGATGTTGATCACAAGACTTTGCTTTTAGTTTTTTCGGTATGGCAACAAAAGTTGACTCTAGCCAGTCTTCAGGAAACTCCCCGTTGTTATAAATATTGTTAAAGAGTCTGACGAGTGAGTCTAGAAATTGACTGTTTGTTTCGCAAAGCATTTTCAATACTTCCCCGTATACGTTATCGTTGCCTGGTCTTTTGTTATTTTTAAGACCCTTTATAGCATTCTTCACTTCTGATTTTAGAATAGAAGGGCCAGTATCACTAGCCCTTCTATTTTATTGCACTCTGTACGAGTACAAGAAACCAATTCGCTAAGGATTTTTGCTTAGTTGAGGAGGATATGTCGTGGAATGCAAATTTTAGATTCCCCTTTGTCTCTAATAACATCTTTATCAATGTCTGTTTTGCCTTGCAATTCTTAGAAGGCACAGATTAAGGCTGTTTTATCGGTGCACTTGAAAGAGTTTTTTTTCTGAAATCGTTGATTTTTTTTTCACCTTTCTGTGTCCAGTAATAATCGAGAAAAGCGTGTTCAAACTTTGAAGAAACTTGCTAAAAAATACTAAAATCTAATAGTGAAACGTGTTACTCATTATTGTCGCTAAGGTTCATCGTTATCGCTTCGTGACTTTAAATCTCATGAGCGTACGGTCAGTTAGTTCGCGTTAAAACTAATTTGAATGGAGAGTAATGCATTTGTTGCCCGCTGGCCGACGCCACTGAGTAAAGATAGTCTCGCGTAATCAGTGTAGAAATGTAAGTGATACGTCCATTTCAAATCGCAGTATGCTTGAACTGCTAAAACAGCCTTAAAGCAAAAATCTGAATTTGGTTTCGAAAATAAGTTTACGGATTTTAATATCAGATGTCGCTATTTGCGTCTATACGAAGCCATGTTAGAGTTGCTTCCTAAGACAGAAAAGATTTATTTTCGCGTTCAAAACGACTGTGAATAGCTGTTCTGACGAGCCTATTAGGGCGAAATACGTATAAGCAGATACACAGACGCACTATACGTGAAATCAAATCTTGACTGTCTTTTTCTTTTTTTTCTTTTTCTTTTTAAATATTAAATTATCGACCTCTATACGTTCTTCACAAACACCCAGTGTTATTAGGAGTACAAGTACAAGTAACAAAATTGAGCATTAAATAAATATATTCTTATATTTTATTCCAACTTCCAAATGCTATTATTTATTTTGTAAAGTTGTGCTCAGTTGGAAATATTAAAAACAAAACTATTATGTAAGGTTAAAATTTAAATAAAAACAGTGTTATACTTACGGTACTTGAAACCTGGCTTTTGAACACAAAGAAAGCTTTGATAATGTACATAATACTTTATGGAAATTCGTCAGATCAAATAACGCCGTATCTTCAAATAAGTCAGACTCTTTCAGCGCAAAATTTTTCTCACATATTTTTAAAAATAGATTGATATTTCTTAGACACAAAAACTAAAATAAAAAAACATAAGATAAGTTTTATTAAATTATACTCTATTTTATTTTTAATATACTGAACAGTTTTTTTCAATGCAAAATAATTACAATACAAAGGAACTAAACATACAGGGTGAGTCATAAAATTAATTTTTGTTTTTCGGTTTTTGCTAATAGTTTCCTTGTATATTTATAAATTGTTATCAAAATTGGCACAGAGGCATAATCTTAGACAAGAAATAGTATTTTATTTACAATTTTACGTTTTGTCATAGAGGGCGCCACGTGGATCATTCCTAATGATCAAATTGAGTCTAAACTTTTTCTGATGAAACTTTTTAGTAATTTTTATTAGAAAATATGACGTAAACATCATTTTTACGTAAAATTAGTACTCTTGTTTAAACATGATAATTTCAACCGTTTTCGATAAAAACTTCACGACATCTATCAGCAGCAACAGGAGTAAGTCAGTCGTCTATTGTTAGAACTCTAAAAAAAGAGAACCTCCATCCGTATCACTTCACACCTGTTCAAAATTTACTTTCAACAGATCTTCCACGACGGTTACAGTTTTGCCAACGTATTCTGAATAAACATCGCAATGGCAGACACTTTATTAAGAATATTATGTTCACCGACGAAGCAACTTTTATTAGACGAGGAGTTTTTAATTGGCGAAATACTCATTATTGGGAACAAGAAAACCCGCATGCTATTAAAGCTAGACATTTTCAGCATGAGTTTAAATTGAATATTTGGTGTGGCATTATAGGCGACCAACTACTAGGGCCCTATGTTCTTCCTCCGAATTTAAATGGAGGTTCTTATTTATTCTTCTTAAAAAATACTCTTAGTGATATTTTAGATGATCTGTCACTGGATGTAAGAAGAAAAATGTGGTTTATGCAGGATGGAGCACCACCTCATTTTTCATTAGCTGTTAGAAATCATCTTAATACGTATGTCCTCAACGATGGATTGGCAGCGGTAGTGATTTTCAATGGCCAACAAGAAGTCCTGAGTACAACCCGCTAGATTTTTATTTTTGGGACATATGAAGTCCTTAGTTTATGCCAATGAAATTAATACACGAGACGAAGTTTGGAAATACATTCAAAATGCAGCTAATCTTATAAGGGGACAGAATAATATTTTTTTAACGTCCGAAAATCCTTTATAAAAAGAATTAGAAAAGGCATAGAAATCGGAGGAGACCATATAGAACATTTAGTTTGAGTTTTTGTGAGTTCTTTTAAGTAAAGTGTCTTTAGTTTTGATTTATCGTCAAAATGGAGACCTTACGTTAGTTGCAACTTTGTTTATTAGTTTGGTATTTGATAGTGGAATTGTAAATAAAATACTATTTCTTGTCTAAGATTATGCCTCTGTGCCAATTTTGATAGCAATTTATAAATATACAGGGAAACTATTAGCAAAAAACGAAAAACAAAAATTAACTTTAACACCCTGTATCTTTTTTCTTAGCAACATTTTATTAAGGCATATTTGGCCCGATTGCCATATTTTGGACCAAATAACCTATCCTTAATCTATGTCCCAATAGTTATGACTCACCCTGTATAGTGCGTTAATTTTATGATTAGGCATAATACTATACCTTATTCCATTAAGCGGTGCAGGGCATATAAACAACGATAAATTTAACAGATAATTGTTAAAGATGTTCCAAATGAGTCTACTCGTTCCGATAAGTAACAGTATAATTATGGCACTTTATTATTTTTTTTCTTTCTCAAATATTCGTGTTTATTGCATAGTAAATAAATTAATGTTATCACTGAATACAAAGTAAGTGAGAAAATACTCCGATTTATAAAATTAATGAATATTTTATGCATAAATGCAAGTAACAGTTCTTCAAAAATATTTAAAAACTAACCGGAATGTCCATCTTTATTTCGTCTGGCGATGTTATCGGCGGTTCATACCGGTTCGGACACGATTTGATGTTTATATTTTCCTGCACCGCTTAATGAATTTTAGTATAGTATAGTATACTATAGTAGAAGCCACCGTTAGAATGCAGTGATGGTCTTACGGCGCGCAGCGATGCCGCTCATGTCGGCATAGTGGTAGGTGTATGGTCGTTTGGCGATAGACTGAGAAATCGGGACCTTACGCGCTTCGTTTCAAAACTCTTTACTCATTAATTTAAGAAAATAAGAGAATAAACAAAAAATATATTCGAAGAAGAGTTAATTCGGCCCATGCCACAAAACCAGTTTCGAGTCCAGCATGAAGAAGAACAAACCGAGGATCTCTTTGGGTTGGAGCAGTAGAGAGCCCTTTTATGAAGGCATCTGGTGGATTCTTCTTGATCGTTGTGTCCCTCCATCCTTTTTGACTGAAGCACTGACGTTAATCACTGATTACTGGACAAAATCTACAATAACGACCATACATAAAAAAGGCAGCTTCCATAAATGCGACAATTATAGAACTATCTCTCTTATATCCCATGCCAGCAAGATAATGCTAAATATAATCAATGAAAGACTGAAAACATTCCTTCAAAGAGAAATTCCACAAGAGTAAACTGGATTTACCAAAGGTAGAGGCACTCGAGAACACCTGCTGAATATAAGACAGATAATCGAGAAATCTAGGGAATTCAACATCCCACTATACATCTGTTTTATAGATTACCGTAAAGCGTTCGACAGGGTCAAGTGGAGACACTTATGGCGAATACTAAAAGAAGTAGGCGTACCACAACATCTAATTACGCTTATAACCGAACTATATGAACACACTACTGGATCAGTTAAACTACTTGACACACTTTCCAACGAGTTTCATCCAGCACGGGGTGTCAGACAAGAATGTATACTATCTCCACAATTATTCAACATATATGGGGAGTATATTATGCGAAGAGCACTTGAAGGATGGGAAAAGGGCATCTCAATAAATGGTCATAAACTAAACAACCTACGTTTCGCAGATGACACAGCCCTTCTTGCAAATAGTCAAGCAGAGCTGATGGAACTTATACGACTGATAGAAAACGAAAGTCAAATATTTGGTCTGCAATTAAACATATCAAAGACAAAGATCATGATAGTGGATAGACTACACAACAATCATCCACACATAACCACAATTGACCGGTTCGAGGTTGTGAGCTCATACTTATATCTGGGATCATAATCACAAACACAGGTCATTATAAGAAGAAATTAAACGTAGATGTGATCTAGCAAAAGTTGCCACAGCAAAAATGACCAAAATATGGAAGGACTGTCAAATTTCAAGAGCAATAAAGATGAGGTTGATCAACTGCTTAATATTCCCAATACTGACCTACGGATGTGAATCTTGGACTCTGAGACAATCGGAGAGAAGAAAGATAGACGCCACTGAAATGTTCTGTTGGAGACGAATGTTACGAATTCCTTGGACCGACCGTAGAACAAATAATTCAATTTTAAGAGAGTTAAAAGTTAGCCAACGACTCTCTAGTAAAGTCCACCTCCAACAATTAAAATATTTTGGGCATGTTATGAGAGCAAACACAGAAAACATGGAAAAACTCATAATACAAGGAAAGGTAGAATGCCGAAGATCACGAGGAAGATCCCCAACAGGATGGATAGATCAAATTACAGGAATATGCCAAAGACCTATGCATGAATTAAAAGAAATGACCAGAGACAGAGATCTCTGGAGACGGACAATACACGACATCACGTCGACCACTACACTTCCCCTGGGGGGTCAGGATTGAAGAGAGAGACTGATGTTAATCCAAGACTCATCAGTATAAACAAGGTTTACATTATCCTTCTTCCTGAATGTTTTTATTTGTCTGAGGTACTTGTGTCTTCAGGATCTTTTCTTTCCATCATTATAGAATCTCGAACTCTTTTACCATATTCAAAACCCATGTCATTTGGTAGCCTACGAAATGTGGTTTTTGAAAAATCTGGTAGGTTTCCTTATCCTTCACTCTATTCATTATGCTGTCAACGGTTAGTGGTATGTTTTCAAAAAAAAATCATGGAAAATTTTTCTTGTTCGAGATTTCACTTCCTCATCGTAAGTATTCTCACGTGAATTTGACTGGAAACTATTTTTCTTCCTTTTTCATTCTTTTTTTCGAAAGAGTCATACCCTGTTTAAAATCCACGACAGATACTGGCAACGTCTCCATCATGTAGGTACTTTCATCCAGTACACAAATCGACAAAGAGACACGTTTGCTTTATAATGATCCTTATTTCCCAAAGAATATGTTTACAATGGAAGCTGTTGAAAACTGATAAATATAGATAAGCTATCGACAATGAGTTTTTGATATATTGACTTTTTTATGGTATTTTTCTTCATGTTATTGTTTAGGTCGACAATGTAACTCTCTTATTTAAACATGGATGATTGAATCATGATTTATTAGGTGAAACAATAATAATAGTATTTTATACAACCGTGGGCAATTGCTGTGCGCATATGAGGAGGTGTCAATCAAAATCAATCATGTCCACCTTAAGAAGTTTTAGGGAAATCGCAAAAAACGTATTAGTAAATAACCTTACATGAAAAATCGGATAAATTAGCATATATCATTTTATTTATTGAAATTAACTGACTCTTAGTAAATATTTCAAATCTGAAGGTATAAATAAACCTGTAAATACATTTTAAAAAAAGGACATGTTCTTATTTGATTGGACTTCATGGACGTTGATAGAAGGGTTGATAAAAAAACTCTTAGACTAATTAAAATATCTATTGTATTGTTACAAAAAATATCTTGAAAAATGCCTAACATTTACCAACGACACTTTCCACAAAATATAAATGTTTAAATGTGTAGTCCAATGTCAGGTTCTAAACAATCACAGGATTCGTCCACTTCGTCAGCATCAATTTTCGTCGTCCTGGATTTCCACTATTATGGTCTTATACCAAGATGAAAAGTCATGTTTCTGCCAGTCATCACCATACATTTTCACAAGTAACGTCTCCACTTCCTTCTTCTTAGCTCCTTTCACTATATTGCTCAGTGGAAGTGACTCTACAGGAGTTGAGAACGACCTTGCAGAATGCCAGCCTTTTTTTTTGAGGCTTGTTGTAGGTTTCAAAATCACTTTCAAACCTAAAATTTCTGTGCCGATTTCACTTTGATAACAGTAAGTTCTTGTCCATTGCGGTTGACAGCTTTCTCTTTCCTCACAAAAATCCTCTTCTTTTCAGATATCATTTCAATGTTTTTAAATCGTGTAGCCAAACTTTTAGCATCAATCAATCCACAATCCTCTTCAAGTTTCCGTACTTCTCTAACAGAACTATGTATATACATTGTAGTACTCGTCCTTTGTTGCAATTGTAGGCTGCTTCCTGAGTAACTTTTCAACCCTTCCGAACACCCGATCAGCGGGGAGGAAGCTATGTCCGCGAACAGGGTATGTTAGAACAATCTCCTCTAAAGCATTTTGCAGTGATCCTAAGTAATACACTAATGTGTGAACAACGGCATTGTTTTTGTTTTGACCGGCACACCCATCACAGAACAGATTCAGTCTTGTTACATTTGACAAATTAGCGAAGTTCAAGAAATTTATAAGTGCAGATGAAAATTCGGTCGCACCCCTTCCTGCAAGTTCTTCAGTCCATACGTAAAATATGGGGTTTTGTGCGTTTGATGCTACAATGCAAAAAGAGTAAAAACTTAATTGTCTTTTGTAGAACGCGTCTTGAATAGGAGTTTTCGGAAGTGCTTGAATTTGCTGGAGATCAAAACAGAAAGTAACCTCATTTTCTTTGTTTTCCTTTAAGAGCCCATAAAAAGCATTAGCTCTTAATCTGTGTATTCTTTTCTCCATCATAAATTGGTTGACCACTACCAAGTCTTTCACAGCTTTAGCCTTCTCAATTTTCAGCTGAAGATCTATTTTATTGCATGTACTGCAAACGTCAGAAGCTGGTGATGAAAATCCGATATTTAATTCATTGAAAACTCTCCTAAACATAGATTTCTTAACTTTAAGATTATCAAGTATAGAATCATTGTTTATTAGCAACAACTTCTTAATGTTTAAGTCTGCACCAAGATAAATCCTTTTCGATTTTTTTCGATTATAGTGGCTTTCTTTTCTTCTTAAATTTCTCAAAAAAGGCGGACTGATTCCTTGTTCGCAGCAGATTTGTGACTCTTCCTATCGCCACCCCTCTGATCCTTAACAGCCTTTCCCTCTTTCACGTTTTTAGAAATATTAGTCAATCTTGTTCCCTTCACCATGGTAATATGCATGAAAAGTTTCCTACAAACAGGTATAACTTTACCGGTTGATGAAAGTATAGAATATTGTACACTAAAACTTTTAGCCTTTGATTTTTCAGAGGTAGGCCTAGGCCTTCGCCGCTTTATGTTACGTTGATTTATCCAACTGGCAATGGTGTTATCTTGCGTGTTTTTGTCAGGTATTTTGTAGAGGATATTTCGAACAAAAATAGCATCTATAGGTCTAACTAATGCACATTTCATACCTTTGTTCATGTGTTTACATGGAACAAACACACGACATCCCACTGGAGTACTGTATCGCTTAAGCTTGGCTCTAGTTTTTTTATCCACAGTCTTTTATTTTTACGAGATCCTTCATTGGCATCGCCCACTCTCACTAAGTTTTCTTCATCCATGGAAAATTTCAATTTTATTTAATAAAAACTACTATAATAATATTAAAATTAAACCACAGTGCAATACAAACTCAATACTCGCTATCGACATAACCTAGAGGGAAAACACAGACAATGTGTTGACATGGTCAAATCACGTGACCAAATCATTGCACTCCTATTAGCTGAATGGACATGTGGTGGTATGATTGAAACCAACTGTGGACATGATTTCATTTGATTTGGGAACCTAATATTGTGTATTCATTTTAAACAGGACATGATTTTTTTTTAACCGAAACCGAAAACACCATAGAATAGGATTCACTCTTTATATTATGAAACAGCTGCTAACTCATTTTTTGATTTTTATGGACATGATTGATTTTGATTGACACCTCCTCATATATTCCAGTGCTATGATTCTTAAATCCGGTCCTGATGCGCCGCTCGGGGCAAACCGGCCACTTGGTCGACCGTTCTCTCGTAAGAAATTCATTGCCTCTTACCTGCACTGCATTCTAACAGTGGCTTCAAGTATATATTATATATGGCAACTTGATTGGTTGACATGAAAGCGGGGATAATATTTTAAAAGTCACTTATAATAATTATTATTTTTAATATTTTCAGTGTTAGAAAAAATTCATCTTCATAAAAACGCAGAATTTTCAGACTAGAGAAGCGCCACCCCTCATAGAGAAGATAAAATATCAATATTATCAAAGATTTTTAGCTTGTAAAGTACTTATGTAAAAAAGTAAAGCGTTTATACGAGTATCAAAAGGATCTATTTTATAACATCAACTAGAACAAAAGAACATTACGTAATGAACTGTATATTGTAGATTACAGGGGTTTTGGATTAGGTTATATCAAAAAAAAGTAATCTGAGTTCAGTACAATTGTTATAAATTTCATTAAAATATTTATTGTATTATTGTTAAATTAAGTTTGACTTACTTGCGCTAAAGTAGGTTTTAAGTTGACATCTTTCATATCTATACAACCAGGATCTATTTTACTAACTAATTTACAAAGCAATACACCATCTCTTAGTATATTCGCCAAATCTACAATAGAAGCTGTCGGCCAGTTGGCCTTGTGATCAGATCTAAGCACTTCCCATCGCGTAAGCCAAGTGGTGCATTCCCTCCAGAGTTCATCATTGCTTTCTGGCCTATATATGCTTACTTGGCCCATTGAGTTGTTGAGCTGGAAAGAAAATAAACATGATAATTATTGATGACAAAAATTAACCGTTATATATCTTCAAGACACATTTTTCTATGAAAAAGATACAAAAACACGTAGACTGTTATTCCACTGTGTACCACTGTGTCGTACCTCTCTCCGAGTCCTTTAGTATTACTCGAAATGTTTTAGGCCAAACAAAAACCTCTGCTAAAAGAAAATCAAAAAACAAATCGCTTCAATTGGGCAAGATCGAAGATTTCATTTTTTTTTTGAACCTATTCTCTATCCTTCCATTGTTGGATATAGGTCTCCCCCAGTTCTCTCCATCTTTCCCTATCTTGAGCTGTTCTCTGCCATGTGGGACCTCCTTGTTCCTGATGTCATATTTACACCTCATCTGTGGTCTGCCTCTTGATCTCTTTGCATTGTATGGACGCCACTTTCCGATGGCATTGTTCCATCGTCCGTCTTGGAGACGTTCATTGTGTCCAGCCCATTTCCATTTCAGTTTTGCTGCTTGTTCTATCGCGTCTACTGTCTTTGTTCTGGTTCTGATCCACTGGTTACGTTTTCTATCTCTAAGTAATACACCCAACATTTGTCTCTCCATCGCTCTTTGTGCCTTCCTTATCCTATCCAAATTGGCCTGTGTAAATGTCCATGTCTGTGCTCCGTAGGTGAGCACCGGTATGATACAGGAGTTATATACCTTGCTTCGTAAGTATAGAGGGATTGTTTGATTTTTTAGAACGTAAGAAAGTTTGCCGAACGCTGCCCATTCCATTCTTACTCGTCTCGATATTTCGGCTGTTTGATTTTCTCTATTAGCTCTGATTGCTTGTCCTAGATAAATATACTCATTTACCTGTTCGATTTTTTCTGTTTTTATTTTTATTGCCTTTTGGTCTTCCGTGTTTGTCATTACTTTTGTTTTGTTGAAGTTAATTTTTAGGCCTTTTTGCAGTGATTTTTCATGAAGTTCATTCAGCATTAATTCCAGTTCTTGTCGTTCCGAGGAGATCAGGAGTATATCATCCGCATATCTAAGGTGATTTAAGTATTTTCCGTTAATACATATTCCTCTGTTTTCCCAATCTGTTGATTTTATTATGTCTTCGAGGGTCAAGGTAAACAATTTAGGTGAAATTATATCGCCTTGTCGGACTCCTCGTTTAACTTTTATATTATCCGTTATTAATTTGTCGTCCAGAATTACGGTCATGGTTGCGTTTTGGTAAATATCATGTATCAATTGTCGGTATCTTGAATCTATTCTACTATTGACCAGAGCTTCTTCAACCGCCCAGTGAAGATTTCATTATCGAAACTAATTGTTGATTTGTGATAACTTGCAAGTGCATGCGTGAAATATCACAGTTAAGTTAGTCTAACCTACAATCGTCGTCTCTTAAAACTAAAACTCAAATATAATTATTTGCATTTGTTTACAACAATGTTATTTGGTACAGAATGAGACACTTGGTGATAGTACACAATGAGAATGTCCCATTGTGTACTACTAAAGTTTGTACCAAGTGTGTAAGCTATAATATGTTGTATGGCTAGAATAAAATTTGATTCTGTTTCTGTTTGTTACAGACATGATGGGCAAAAAAAAGCAATGAGTCGAGCGACATTCAGCTCCAATGATATGGCAAGTGCCGTACAAGATGTTTTGGACGGAAAATTGAGAATTGTTGCCGTTGAACATGGAGTAAAATTTCAGACATTACAAAGATATGTCGCAAAAAAAAACGTACTAATCTAAACAATGGTTGAACGAAACCCAATTATGCTGTACGACTTGTTTTTTCAAAGGAACAGAAAATTTCTTTGTATGATTACAACAAAACTTGTAACAAAATGAGCTTTCGACCACCACGTTGGGGTAAAATCGACCACTATGGTCGATTTTACCCAACGTGATCGATATTACCCTAATTGTGATAGGTCTTGATGTTATTTATTTCAGATGCCACGAACATATCACAGAAAAACAACACAGTCCTCATGAGGCGAAGAGACGATGGAAAGAGCCCTCAGCGATATAGCTGACAAAATACTTTCAATAGGGAGCATGAAACTAATACAACATTCCTTATGGAACATCGCAAGACCGATTAAGAGGTCTTTTTGAGGCCAAAAGAATTGAATTGGTGATTATTGAAAGGAACTAACTCCACACAACTAAAATGTTGGGAAATTAAAAAAAACTGTTTATAAACTACACTAGTAATTTTAGCAAAACGACGTTATGGTAGATTGAAAGCAACTATGCTGCAATACTTTTAACAATAATCCCAGTAGGTTATTTGTTTTTAAACAAGTTTTATTTGAAAAAAATTGCGTTGGAATTAGTTCCTTCTAAAACTAATTGCTTGTATGTAAAAATAAATGAAACAAATCATTAGTTTCAAGTCAGATTTATCAATACTAAATTATTACATTGTCATTATTTAAAGTAATCGTTTTCTTCCATAGTAGTAGGCCATGTAAGGTAAGCTTCATAAAAGTGCTTAAATTCTTCATTGTCTTCGGGAATATAAACTAATAACTTTCTGACAGCGTCAACTTTATGTTTATTGATTGGCACTTTTCCCTCAGGGTAAGCAATACAGAAAGCATCAAATAGGTTTAATGGCCTCGGTCTAATTCCTGGTTGTTTTAAATTAAATGTGTGCTTAAATAAGCCCCCTATAAACTCTGATGTCTGCAAGTGACCATTTTGTAAATACTTTGAACTCCATAAACGAGGCTGGTGCAAAAGTTTGCTTTTGTTGACGGGGAACGTTTCTGCCATACGATTCCAGAGATAACACCGTTTTTTTGTACAGCGCTGGCCACCATTTATTAAAGTCCTTGATATCTTCCGTACGAATAACTTTTACTGTTATGTTTGATTTTGCGTTGGCGATTAACTCAACATACTCCATAGGATGATAAATGCGATCTGCTTTCTTTATACTTCTTTTAAATAGACCGAATGTCCTATCGCAGTCTAGAAATGAATGGCCTCTTATGGGGAATCTGTGGATAATATTTCCAAATTTTTCTGTCTCAACTAGACCCAATCAAAAACGGATGAAAGTATGATTTTTATTCTGACCAGGACAGGAGTCAGAAAACAAATACACACTCTCTAATGTAGTCCATGAGAAAGCTGCATACTTCGTTTGCGCCTTTTTTAGCTGTACCCTCGGAATATAGATACATGCGTGATGAGTTATCTTTCAAATTTGTGATACAAAAAGCATATACCCATATCTGTCTCATATTAAAGATTTCTTGCACTGGGATATGTGGCAATGGCAAGTTTTGCATAAAGTCAAATACAAGACCACACGTTGTTTCATCGGACTTGCAAAGTTCTCGAGTAGCTTTTAGTTGGTTATAAAATTTCTTACTTCGCCTTTTATGTACTTGAAGTTCAGCTTCTACTGTTAGCTTTACAGACTGAGATAAGTGGGGATTCTTTAACTTTGTTTCCATTGCTTCACACGATAAACAAACATCAATTTGAGGCCGACCAAATCGTAGGTTAAAGTTTTCATTAAAATATTTTAAATAAAATTCATATTTGACTGTTGTCTTTGGATATTTTGATTTATAAAGTTTGTACATTATTTTTACATTGAGTCTTGCATCCAAATATGTAATATGGCTTTGCCCATAATGGCTGCTTTTGGTAGGAAAAGATGCAATATGATCATGAATTTGTTTGCATAATTCCGCAGAGACTGCATGAGATTTAATATTATAACCTCTTTTGTCTTTTGGAGTTATTCCTTGAGAAAGTATTGTTGCAATACGATAAACACGTTTTTGGCTAACAACGTGCAAATTCATAAATGCTTTGCGGCATATTGCCACCCTATCATTATTTCGAATACAAAAAAATTTAAAACTAGCATTGCGTTTCTCTACGTTCCCTCTTCTGCGTCTAATCGGGAAACATTCCATAAGCCGTTGTAAATGAAGGTCCTGTTCATTTTTAGAATTCAGATTGTGGAAGGTATTTAATAAATCAATTTCTTGATCCATTGTAAACTTTTGTAACAATCCATTTTACAGCTGAAAATAATAAGAATTACAACCACCGAAAACGACATAAAATGGTTGTATAGCCTTACCTGCATATAGGCGACACGATTGTCTTTTTGGAACTATATTTCCTTTTGCAGTTTTATATGCTTCTCCTTTTAATTTATTCACCTTCCTGACATTAGACTTCCAGCTCTCTGGCTGGCGCATATGTTTTTTTCCATTTTGAACATTAGTTTCATCCTCAATATTCATCATTACGCGTCTATACTACAAAATATAATGCCTGTGCACATATTTAATAACATTCTTGACTTAGGAGCAATAAATGTATGAATTATTTGTAAAGACGTAGACTCAGTCGTTGTAAGTTTATTCGTCAGTTGTGTGAAGAATTACGAACTCCATACCTTTCCTCCCGAAATCTGGTACAACATCCAGATACGTTCTACCAACAATCGGCACTTTATTCTGTTTACTTTTGGGAATTATGGTTAGACGTAATATGGTTTGAGAGATTATATTCCCTTATTTATAAACTGTAGAAAAACTTCTTAGTGCTTAATTACATTCTTGATTCATAATTTTGTTTTGATGATGAACACCTTTTCTGGTTATTCTCAATAGCGTGTTACAGATGCATGATCTAGTCATGATACATGTATGGTTTTAGTGTTCATTCGCTACATGTGCCCAGATCAAAATTGGCAATAGACATGTCTATTTTGTAGCAGCCACCAACCGCTGCCACATGTATTTATGATGTCCCCCACTATAATTAAAAAATTAGAATTTTGTTTCAGAAACTTATAATTTTCTTATTGTGCTTTTAAGTCTCAACTTATGTGTCACATCCATAACATAGCATTGTTCTTATGATGGTTTAATATTCACTATTTTATTTTCTTTGGGAATAACTAATTCAAATTTATGTTTTTTATGTTTCAATTTCCAGTCCTTATTAAATAAAAAAATTGATATAACTAGCAAAATATTTAAAAACAACATGTAATTTTAAATACAATAATTGTAAGTTATTCGCAAAAAATATAAAGTAATCCATGTAATACATGCTACAAGAAAATAGTTTGAAAACAACTCAGTTTTATACAGAGCCAGCAAAAATATTCCAGATTAATGCAGGCTTTGGAGTAAGCTTCCCTTCTATTCAATCACTCCCTCAAAAGGTATTCAAAATATAATTTAATTGGTTTACATTTTTGCTACTTTTCTACCATATACATATAGGAAAAAGTATATGATAGTAATGTATATAGTTCATAAATAAGGTCATTCAAAGTCCAATATCATTTGAGCGTGTATGGCCTATTGTTATCAAAAGTTTTTAAGCAAATAGAAAGTCTGCAAACTGAACAAAATTAAGCGACTTTTTTTTAAATCAAGAATTGCAGTGATGCCATTGGTTTTTATGATCAATTAAATTCACCATGGAAAAAAATCCACCCACTTCCTTTTCTGGATGTGTTAATTGCAAAAGAGGATACAGGATATGCAACCAAAGTTTACAGAAAACGAACCCACACAAAATATCAGATATCTAAATTACTACTCAAACCACAATGTAAACATTCATTGAAATCTTTATATGAATGAGCCCAAAACATGTGCTCCAATGAAATGCATTTCAGGAAGAAACAACTTGGTTTTAACAAATTATTACTGATTCTCATTTATAAAAGAGGAATTTCGCAAGATTGAAGAAAGGAAACAACATAACACCATAACTAATCTATAAAAGCTCACAAGAAGGGGTTTAAAGATGACAACAATGCCATATTATGTATGGGTTTGTCAGAAAAATTAAAAAGGATAGGAAAAAAGTACACCATCGCAACAACATTCAAAACAATCAATATACTGAGATATATTCTGACCAAAAGCAAACAAACAACACACAAAGGAGATCTAAGAATTGCATCTGTAAATACCCTATGAATGTAAGACGTTTACATGGTAGAAACTGCAAGCTAAATGAGCATGAATCATACAACAAAATCAGAGACTTCAACAGATCACAGATGTGCAAACAAACCTGGGATAATGAGAACAGAGTACAATGGAAATATGTATTAATATTCATGAAGGAAACTGATATGAAAAACAGAAAAATCTTAATGAAGAAAAATGTGTAGAAAACTCATCAGCTGAAATGTGGCAGCCTCTACTTGTATAGAATTTTGCATGTAAAAAATTATTATACAGTGAAACTTGGATAAATCGAATCTCAGGGGACCATTCAAAAAATTCGAAATATCCAAAAATTCGAAATATTCAAAAATTCGAATTATCCAAAAATTCGAATTCAAAATATATCTACAAAAGATAGTGATACCTACAAAAACAACTGCAAACGACAAAAATCAACAATAGTTGACCACTTTTATCTTTTGCAGATGATTTCGTTCCTATTCTTACCCAAATTTTGTCAGCCGAAAAAATGGGCTAACAAAATTCGGTCAAGAAAACCAATTAAAATATTTGCAAGCTATAAAAAATTGAAAATAAATGGAAATAAAAAGAAATTAGAAATTTTTAGCTGCTTTTTAGAATTTAGCTTCTCGGCAATGACAAAAGATTTTAAGGTATTCTAAGGTGAACTAAAAATAGAATGACTTTTATAGAGTCATTTTTACTTTCAAAGTACAGTCTAAGTTATGTAATATGATTCGTTACTTCGGCTGCACTGCAACATCTTTATGTAATATTTTTTATTTTTTCAGGGTTTAACAGCATAAATATTGATGTTTACATTTATTTAAATAAATTTCATATTATTTTCTAATAGTTATATTGTAATTTCCGATTTGTTCATGAATTTTTTCCATTTTTTAAAGATTTTTTTGGCCTTTTTTTTAATCCAAAAAAATGCAAAAAATAGTCTTTTCTGATTTACTAGAGGTTTACCAAAAATTTTATCAATATTTCTTAATTGAAATTCATGTTTTTTTATTAATTTTTGTCAACAACCTACATTTTACACAATGAACTAAGTATGTTCAAAATCTCACTTAATTTAGTATTATATTCGTATATTAGTAGGAACATATGAAATAAAATTTGATTTATATCCACTTGAGTAGGTACCCTTCAATCAGGAATGAAGGAATTTTCGTTGAGTACAACAAAAAACATTTTTTGCTTGTTGCATAACATACTTTTGCCTTTCTTACCATTTTCCTGCTTAAGATAAATTAATACCATACTTTCTAGTTTATTCTTATTACTTTCCATACAAACTAAACTTCTAGGTGACATACTTATTTTGCTACCCAAGATCCAAGAACCAAATTAGCTTGTTAATTGGCTGGTTATTGAACTCAATATGTGATAATAATTTACCCAGAATTTGAATTGACACAAAACTGATAAGCAAATATAAATTATAAGAACAAATAAATAATGAAAAAATAGTTTTATGAAATGAATATCTTTTATTATGCTTATTCTGATAAATCTCAATCCAATAAAACCAGGAAAGAAACATTTTTGTGAAAAACTAAATATTTTTTGTGGTAAATCAGATGATTGTCAACAATTTATTAAGACAAAAAAGCTGCACATTCTACAAGGCCAACATACAAGATCAATACATTACTAAACGTATTTCTTTTTAATATTATGCATTATTTTCGACAAATGTGGTTATTCTAATCAAAGAGATAGGGTGTGTGTATCAAGATATGTCCAGCATGTTTCCCACAAATAAACAATATTTTACTCCTTATGTAACTCTCAGCTTTAGTATATCAACAATTTCCGACCCATTTTATTTGCATTAAGAATTTAACAGTAAAAACCTGAACATTGAAAGAAAAGAGCTTACCAGTGTATCATTTTCTGCAAATGAAGCTGTAGCCATTATTGCTTAATTAAACTGAGCAAGATCTGTGTGAAATATTTTGAAGCATTAAGTTTGTTGAGCTATCTTGAAGCACTAATATATCGGGCTATGTAACTTGCACTTTCCTATTGTTTTTTTATTTACAACACTTCATTAATACCATACCGTTGTTAAATACATGGATGCAATGAAAACATTTATCAAAGGAAACAAAAAGATTTTTTATTTATCAAGGAATCTTGCTCTTTCTGTTACGTTAAAAATTATATGTGTATCTCTTTTTAAGGTGGGGAGTTAGAATGACATAAACCTTACAATGTCATCACAATACTGTCACTGTCAAAATCAAGGCATGTGTTTTGCTCATGGACGTATAAATACGTCCATGGTTTTGCTGTAGTACAAAATTATTTATTCCCGGGATACTCGTAATATGTATTGTAAATTAATACAGGAACATTTTTCATTAACTTATTAGTATGATGTCATAATTAATCGATTTTAAATTATATATTTAAAACACAGACATTACCCTATTCAGTTTAAATAAAAGCATACCCAATGATCAAATTAATTGATCTGCATATGATAAAATATTAGCAATAATTATAAAGCTCGGTACTTATGTTTTGAATTATTATACCTGGATTAAACATGCAAATTTTTGCTTGGGCCCACTTGAAAATAGGTTTGTTGTAGGTCTCAATCTTTGATTTATGAATTTTTTCTGAAATTTCTATATTTATAATTATATAAATTATTAATTTATAGACGGTATTAGAATTTGGCAACAACTATGTTTGTGATATGACACATTAACGTACTTATTACATTTACCAGTAATTTACAGTAGTTTAAAATAATTTCTAACAAATATGACAATTTTCTGCTTAATTTGTCAAAAACCAGTTTTAAATATTTTTTATGGTTAAAATTTTTTGCAAACAAATGTTTGCTTCTCCCTAAAATCTCATATATTATGTATACTCTTTGAAGAAAAATTTCTTTTGTGTAGGTATAAAAAATTTCTTTTGTGTAGATATATAATAATAATATATTTTATCTCTACATCAGTATAATTTTTATCCAGTAATCATCCAACGAACTTGTATTTTAGAGTAGTTATCCGTTTTAAAATATCATTTATAATTAAATAGGTGTCCATTTTTTATTCAAGTTAATAATGATATAATTTTTATTTGTAATTTAAATGAATGTTATTTTGAACAAATATGAAAATGAAAACATTGATCCTGTCATTTCATTTACTTAATAAAGTGTGATAAAGTTGTAAAATTGATTACGTCTAAAATAAATTTTTTGTGAATATTCTTCATTAAATTTAATTTGCAAATAGTAACAAAAATTCAACTTGAAATGTCAGGAACGAATGTCATTTTTAAATATTTTTATTTATATAAAATAAATAAGAAATTAGTATATGCCATTAAATATATTTATTAATAATTGAAAAAGTTCTATCTGGTTGTCAAACACTTAAAACATACTTTTGAAAAATGTAATATGGATGGAGCACCAACAACAAACAACGCATGTCATGACTCAATGTGAAAATATAAAATTCCCCAGATATTCGACGTCCTGCTTGTCATAATTGCTGGAACTAGCAAATGGCATGGCAGATTACAATGGCAGCGAGCAGTGGCGGAGTTGATTGGACGACTGTCTTAAAACCATTCTTATCTAAAAATTATGAGACTTCTAATACAGCAGAATTGATAGAACTATGTTCAGCTATTGTAAAAAGGTACGTACATCACATATTAGTTATATTCGATACGAATTTTTTGATGATGTAGATCTAAAAATACTGACAGGTTTTTTTACCAGTCATTTTGTTTATCCTATTTTTTGTTTTAATTTTAGCGAATCCGAAATCTTGCGACATAAAGAGAGTAATAAGAATTTCTTCAATTCCTTTGCGGTTCTAGCTTCAGATTATATTAGCAGTAGTACTAGTGGTTGTAAGTATGATCTATATTTTCAGTTGTACAAATGTCCTATACCAGTGGCAGTCAGTGCCAAGGGAGTTTATAATAGATTATCATGTCTCACGCGAACATCTTTTATAGAGTCCTTTAGCTAGTTTATAAAAGTATTGGTCCAAAAAAGTATAAGCAATATTCAGGGATATGCTAATTAGCTTTGACTCAACATCTATTGTTTGTAGCTCTGTGATCTATATACATAGAAGTAGATGTTACACCCTTTGAATACAAATAGTAGATATATTTATATCTCGTCCTTAAGGAATTATTGCTAAAAGATAATATAAATATAAAACATAATAAAAACATGGTCATTTACATGCTAATCAATTGTGTATTGTTTATCAGAGACATACAATGTTTACATAGCTGAGTTTGTGGAAAAGTTATTTAATATTTTAGGTAAGAAATATTAATTAAGCGCAAATTAAGCTTTAAAATGTTAACATCATTACATGAGAGAAATGAGGACTTTGGCTGGTCAGGTACTTGATTAGTTTTTTTTATGTAGTATAGGCATCTAGAACAAAAACATTTACTTTTCATGCAATGAATTAGGTCTTGTGGTAGTTTTTAGTTATTAACAATTAATAGTGGTGGGAAAATGCACCATTTTGTTATGTTAGTGTAACATTAACAAGTAAAAGATTTAAAACATGACAGTTCAAGGTCATTATAATTCATTAAAAAACTTTAAAATTTTGTTGTCTGATTGGCGAAATACATTATTGCTTAAAAAAACTGAACATTTGATAGAACTTTTAATTTTCAATAGAGTTTAATAACTGTTTTATAAGTCAACTTACAATTTTGCCACTATGTGTCATCATCATTCTGGCTTTACAACCCTGCATGGGTCCTAGCCTCCTCAAGAATTTAGCTCCAGTTGTCCCTATCCAGCGTCTTCCTCTATAAAGCACATATTCCCATATTTCTATGTCTTCATGTATGTTATCAAGGAACATTGTTCTGTGTCTTCCTCATCCTCTCTAACCAATGTGTCTATATACTAGTGTTTTCCTAGCTGGGTAATTTTGTTCCATCTGCATTACATGCCCTATCTACGGGCCTGTAATGTGTTGTCCTATGGCAACACATTACATGCTTCAGATGTCCTATGTGTTGTTGGTGGTATAATGGCACTGGGTTCTATTTATAAACATTTAGACTAAATTTTTTCAATTTCTTTTTTCTAATGGCTCTACAGCTCTTTGTGGATATTGGCCTGCATAACACTATTCTTTTATTCTTTCTTGTAGGATACTTTCCTTTGCCACTGCCTGTTGTTCATGACCTTAAGATCTTTCTCTAAATTGTCATCTTTTTTATATATAAATTAAAGTAAATGATTTAAATAACAATTAAACTATTTGATAAATCAGTGATATTTTTACCACTTTGGATTCACTGCATAACCCAACTTTTTATGCAGTAACAGGATTGTAGATTGATTTTTTACAATTGGTATTAAAATTTATTGAAAATTAAAATTCTGAATAATCTCAACAGTTTTTTAAGCAACAAATAATTATATTAACATTCAGAAAACTTAATTTAAAATTTTTTATATTAATTACAAGATTATTACTTTCAATTTAATGTAATGAATTGACAGTGGATAGAACTCTTCATTGAGTTCTCAACACAGACTAAACTTTATTTCAAGATTGTAAGACACAGAACACAATGTTTACAATAGATGGGGTTGCATGTTATTATATAACTATCTTGGGGTACTTCAACACTCCCACTATCAGAGAATACTTTAAATCAGCAACACACAACTTATCTAAATATTTGTAATGTTTAGTGGTACCTAAACTTTTCATTAAGACATTAGAGGGCACATCAGCCATTAAATGGAATTATACAGTTAAAGTCACATGTATTCACAAAACAAGTTTTCAGATATTCCCATGTACTCAGTTTTGGTGCAAATTTACTAAGGTAGCTAACTGAGAAAGATATATCTGGTCTTGTTAAAACTGCTAAATACATTAAACTGTCTATTAACTGTTGATAAGGTACCTCCCTACAAATACTTTCACCTTTATTCAAAATTATTTTTTTGTCTATAGGAGTACTAATGTTTTTACAATGTGACATGTTAAATCCTTTTAAAATTTGATCTATATGGTCTTGATTTAACATTATTACTAGCGGACCAACTCAACATCGAGTTTTTTAAATGAAATTTTTATTTTGCGAGAAAAATTAAGAGATCAATACAAACAATATAACCAGGAATATACATAACATTCATCAGTAATAATGCAAGTAAAAAGTGTATTAAATATCACGAAATATTTCGTCGAAAACAATGTTTTTTGTTACAATGTTTCCATTTTCTGAAAACTTTTGCTTGGCACCGGGAGTTATGTAAACTTTTATTTTTTAATAAAAATGAAACCGGAAGTCGACCTCAAAACCGGAATACAATTTTTAGTTCATCAAATGTCGACATGGATATCATTTAGCAGTTAATTTTGCATGCTGATCACGAATCCAGTGTCAGATTTGCTCTATCTTGACGTTTTATGCGCGTTTCGGGTCACTTCCGGTGCCGGATCGCAACCGGAAGTTCATATTTAGATTCGTCTCGACGAGACCTTTCGATCAATACATACATTGTGGGGTCTAAAACTTAAAGTAAATTTTCACTTGCGGTCATCTCAAAACCGGAAGTGAATTTTAGTACCAAAAGTATATCTTGACAATCTCATACGTAATACTAATAATATTCCGAAAAAATATTTTAATTATCTAATATGGTTTTTGAGTAAAGTGGTGGACAAGAAAAGGGCTTAGCGTTTTAGTATATAAGATATTATTATATAACTTGTTCTAAATCTTTGATTCTAAATTTTTGACCCAATGAAAAAACCCTTTAGATTATCAGTTTCAGCAATATCTCTAGAAAAAATATTCGAGATCTAGATAAAAAACTGTTAAAAGTTTATTATTTTTTTTTTGTAAACAATGTTATAATTATAGTTTATTCGTCTTCCGGGTTTGGACCGTGTCATTTTTGAGTGACCCAAAAGTGGGTTCATCTCGACATTTCGCTACAATTGTATGTAGCTTCTTCAGGAGAACAAAGAAAAAGAAATCAAAAGAGAGGAAGATGGGTGCTTAGCAACGGTAACTCAGTTACTCAACGCAACCAGAGGAGAATACTAACTACCAAGATGGGCATTTGGTCACAGTAACTCAACTACTTAATGCAGCCAGAGGT